GCAGGAAACAGTTATGGAATCTCTTTTCGCACCCATAGCAAATAGCCCCCAATTATTATGCTTTTTGTCCCCCCAGGGCAAAGATGAGCTGATATTAACCTGCAAAATACAGAGTTATCTGCTATAAATTAATATGTGTTTCAATACTAGAGTTTAGATGTTAATTACCAGGTAAAATGGAAGGTATTCAGAGATTTTTGGAAGGAAATTTTGCAGGCAAAAAGGAAATTTCGGGTTATGGAGAAGGAAATTAATTTTTTGGGAGTGGAAACACTGGTTGCAGCAATTTTGTTGCTCGTGTAACTCCAGCTTTAAGCCTGCAAATGGCCATTTTATTTTTGTCCTTGCGTGTTTGGCACGACGTCGTAGCGCGTGCTATCACATGATATGACGTCAAATCGTTGGTAAGCCATTGAGTTCATACGACGGTTTTGCTGATGGCTTTTAGTCAATCAGAAATCATGTATTATTTTAAATAAGTAACACTTCATTTCCTCTATTTGGCCTGCTGGGGATTTTTTCCATTTGTTCTGAACTTTGGGCTAATTAGAGGCAAGGCTAAATAAAAGGTTCGTGCTGTTTCCTGCTGACACAAACATACTTGAAAAATGAACCTGGTGGTGTCAAATTTCTGCTTTTCATTTTATTGCCATTGTAACTAAATATAGTGTACTCTTGTAAATATATCATTTAAATTATGTAAACAAACTTAAAGATAGGGTACAGTCCAGTCTGCACATGCGCACATAGGACTCTGCTGCCGTGATATAAACACTTTAATTAGGTTTCTATTTCATTTTATGTTATTGCAAAGCCTGATTATTGTATCTTGATCATGTATTATACTGTAGAAGCATGAAAATATAAATAGTTGTCGAATAAAGTTCAATATTTTTAATACCGAAATGTAAACATAGGCTTTGTTTACATACGGACTGTACCCTACCTTTAAGAAGCTCAACAAATACACAATAACAAAAGATGCATCTTTAATTCAATATAAATTTTATCACAATTATAACAAGGTTAGGTCGATTTAAATGTGGAAATACTATGCATTGGTTAACAGAAATGCATCGACATCTAAGCAGTTTCATGACTTTCATCAGTACTATTTAAAATGCTCCTACCAACAAATTCAACTGTTTCTAAATACAAACTTTGCCATTGGTGCTAGAGGTCGCTAATGGGTTAGTTATAGTTTGAAGTAGGTGAAGGTTAGCAGCAGACAGTGGACTCTGGACCCTAGGTACTGTTACCACTAAAGTTTCTGGCAGCTCTGTTGCCCAATCATCCGGAGTTGGGTAATTTAATTCACCACCATGAAAAGATGGCCAGGGCATATAAACTGTAAACAACTGTAATGGAGTAGCTGATCCCTCTGACGAAATTTTGTGGTGGTTGTGAGCATTCATGTGGTTGGTTAATGCTCGATTAATGCGAGGTAGGTATACATAATGCAAGCAAAATATATCTGTTTTGTTGTCCACATTGAGGTGACCCTCCAGTTCTAATTCTTCAAACACTTTCTTAAATGGTGATGTAATGGTTACATTCAAGTCTCTATTATTTCTCTCTGCTCGCTGATTGTGGACTGACCTACCTGTGAACACAGGATTATTCTCGTCTCCATAGGCATTGTACATTGTTGTCCAGATGCTAACGTTCTCTCCTCCATGATCTGTTCGCACATGCTTGGGCATACCAAACTAATTTGTTGCTTCATTGAACAGTCTGAGATCTGTTATTATCTGAGTTCTACAACAGTCTGAGATCTGTTATTATCTGAACTCTGGAGAAATGTAATGAGCCTGAAATACCCATCAATTGCACAATGAATTGCTAGTCTGTAACGGATTAGTTTATGATTCCATCAATATGCCAAATAAAGTTTGGATGTGGAACCTCGTAAAGTCTTCTCTTTATACCGTTTGCTTTCCTCTCGTCAACACCTACAGGGTCAACTCTGTGAATTGCTTCTCGCAAATGTTTCCGTTGAACATCAATCCCTTTTGATCTCAGATGGCCCATTAACATAACCTCACCCATTTTGTGCTGATCTTGATAAATTTATTTAATAGTGTTATCAAGTTCATTATCTGATATTATTGAGTATTTCTCTTTGTAGTTAATCCTATATTCATTCATCTTCTTGTACAAAGAGGTCCTGCATATACCAAGAACCTTTGCAATTTGTGCATATGAAAGTTTGAGAGCAAGAAGTTCAGTTATCATTTCTTTTGTCACATGGACGGAAGGTCTGCCCACTTGGTTCTATTGAAAAGATTAATACGTTTGATTAAAACGTTTGATCAGAGAGAATGTTAAATGACAATATTATTCCGTAAAACAAATTTAACAAGTGACACAGTGACAGCGTTGCGTTTGACTGGTTTTTAACTTAATTTTTCGCGAGTCTAATGTCGAACTAATGTGAGTCTAATGTTGAACTAAGGAAACCAACCTGATTTCAGAAATAAACTTACCACTTTCATTGCCTCGTTCTCTTCGTCATCAATAACCGCAGTAACTTTAGCCTGCATGCAGGTCCAAGGGAACTTGGGCCTGCATGCGGGCTACAATGGTTTGACACAAGTTACTGTAGCCCGCATGCAGGCCCAAGGGAACTGACAGTGGGCCTGCAAGCAAGGCCCGGTATTTTGTAAAACGCCCCTTTTCATAACACGCCCCATTCGCGCGTCAATTGTCAAAAAAGAACCAATGACAGCACCCAAATATTAACAAACTCGCATTAAAATGTTGTGGTGTTTTCTCTGCTTATCCAGAACATAAACAATGTGTAAATGGCTGCGTTTTAACTCCAAAAAAGCAAGCAATGCAGTCAGTAATTGCCAAATTTGCAAGTGCTCATTTTCAACTAAAATCGGAACAGGCAAATTAGGACGAATTTCAACAGAAAACCAGTCTCAAACTTCAAAATATTGTGAGGGAAGTCGTGCGACTACTGTACATTAGCATTTATAATGTGTGCTTCGCTGTCGCCATTGTTATAAATAAATTGTCTCACTTATCAGATCGTGTGTGCAATTTTTGTTGGCGGCGGAAAGTACAAAATTTATTTCAGTTATTTCATTTGGTAAAGAACTCTACAAAAGAAGAGAGCATTCAGAGTCCAGATCGTTTCAAATGGCAATTTAATACCGTCTTCTGTTTCGCTCTCTCAGCGAAGCCTTGTAAATCACAAAGTGTTTTGAATAGGCTTACATGCAACTGCCTCTAAATCTTCACCGCGTTTTCTTCAGTGCAAGAACAGAGTCAACATCAACCAAATGATAATTTTCTTGAGGAACATATAACGTATCAAGTCCGTTTGAAATTAATGAAACTCAAGTAAAGGTTACTATATATAGTTTACCCCAGTCGTAAATCGTAATGTTGCTATTCCAACACCTCGTGACAAGCAATCCCCATTGGCATAATGCCAAAAACATCTCTTCCTTCAAGTAAACAATAAACAGTCTGTTCTTGTTCCATTTATAATCGAAAAAAGCGATCAATTTTCTAATTTTAAGCTTATTGTGAGCCTTTGTGATGAATCACTGATCTAATTATAGAATCCAACAGCAAACAGCCAATCAAATGCCACGAACGCGGAAAGTACAAAATACCGGGCATTGCTTGCAGGCCCACTATCAGTTCCCTTGGGCCTGCACGCGGGCTAAACTATTGAAATGTGTCGAACCTGCCGCCATGTTTTATCTCGAAAGAATCCTGAAGAGCTTCCGGTTGGTCGGCTGGGGCACAGAGGCTGGGGACTGGGTTAAATAATAAATAATCACTTTTGGGGTTTTTGTTTATATAATAAACAATCACTTTTGGGGTTTTTGTTGATATAATAAAGAATCATTTTTGAGTTTTTGTTTACATAGTACATAATCACTTTTGAATTTTGTTTATATAATAAATAATCACTTTTGGATTGTGTTTATATAGTAAGTAATCACTTTTGGATTTTGTGTATATAATAAATAATCACTTTTGGATTGTGTTTATATAGTAAATAATCACTTTTGAATTGTGTTTATATAGTTAATAATCACTTTTGGATTGTGTTTATATAGTAAGTAATCACTTTTGGATTTTGTTTATATAATAAATAATCACTTTTGGATTGTGTTTATATAGTAAATAATCACTTCCACATTTTCTGTTTATTTGCTTAATAATCATTTTACTGTTCAATTTTGTAATAAATAATTTAAATTATTAGTGAATAATGAAAAAAGCGAAGTGATATTACTTTAAATAATTTATGAACAAACGGCGCCCCATGGAATTTGACACCTTCCAGTTTGCAAACATGCTGCTAGTGCGCATGCAAAAGTGCTTGTTTATAAATTATGTAAAGACAGCAGATTGATAGGTACGGATGCATGTTCATTAATAGTCACAGGTCTGATGTTTTTTTGCACATCGTTTGAGCCATACACAGGCTATTGGAGAACTGATGTGCAATTTTCACTATTTGGTCCAGAATGATGTGCAAATTGCACATTACTAATTTAATGCTGACCTAGGAATAGAGGTATATTCTTCTGTTATATAGCCCTGCATACATTAGTTGACTTAGTGAGTATTATAGTCTAAAGCGCAGGGGAAACGTTGTGGAAACATTGTTTCCTGCCAATGTTTCACCATGTTTCCCAGAGTGGGCAAACACTAGGAAACATTAGTGAGAAACATAGGGTAACATCAAATGTTTCTGAATTCGCTAGGAAACAGTTTCGCTTCTCGGGAAGCAAATTTTGTTTCCTCAACAATGTTTCCACAGATGGGCAAACAGGGAAACATTCAAGGAAACATTGAGAATCACAAATGTTTCCACAACATTCCCTAGTTTGCCTACGGCTTAAGAGTACTAGTGAGTTCGAGTCGCATAAACACCACATTTTGCTGCTGCGACCTGTTGTGACATTGGAAAGACTTCCCATATAAACATGATATTTGTGAGTTTATAATATTTGGTTCACTTTATGTAGTGATTTATTATATATACCCCTTGGTAAGAATATAAATGTTATAATTATTTAGTTCAATATTAATATTTACTTTACTGAACTCATGCCTTTAGAATTTCTGGCATCATAAATTTAAAATAAAAATCTGAGAGTTTGGGAAGCATGTTCTTGTTCCATAATTGTTTGTCAAAATTAATTATTTCTATAAAAATTTCTTTTTGTATATAAACTATGAAATCTACAAAAGGTAACTGGCATAGTGCCATTACACCTAAACATTGAAAATAGTATTGATGATTTTTTTTAACATTGGCTTTCCATCAATAAGGGTCATGTAAAAGGTTTTATCAGAACATGCCTCTTCAACGGTCATGTCCCTTTGAACATTTTCAACGGTCATGTCCCTTTGGACAATATATTTTCAATTGCATACCATTCGCCATTTAGTAAACTCAACCCATCAGGACTGCAAGCCAACCAGGGCCATTGTGGGTTGATAATGAGTCCACAATCATAAAGTTTAGCATTGGGAAGTTTTTCATTGTACTTCTCCTTTGCAACTTGTTCATTTTCTAACCCCCATTGACAAGCTGGAGTTGGCCCATAGTTTCTTTCTCAATTATCTTTACTTCCTCCTTTGACACACAGACAACAGTTACAAACCTGCGACGTGGTCCATCGACATCAGACCTTTCAACTTTGCAGAGAAGTTAAGAGTGAGATCGGGGATGTGGATGACATGCACATTATGAGAGTTGGTATTTTTTAATGAAATACATTGCTTCATAACGTCCTTTAAGACACTCTTGGCACTTTAGTTACAGTAACTGTATTTCTGTGACATACAATAATCAGCTTTAATTTGCCTTTGATAATTTACAAATAGAATTCTGCTCGGACAGATTCTGCCTTTTGTCCACAATATTTACATATGTGTACTATTTTGTATCCAAATATTGTTGGGCCGTATATGCAGGAAGAAGAACACACAATTATATATTTGACTCGTGATCCGTATAATGATTAATAATGTGCATTTAAGAATACAATATTATATTATTGAAAAAAATACTATGAAACTGCGTGAGATTTACTAAACGTGGTGTGAGAGCGTAAGAGTGAAGCGAATTGTGTGAGACTCACGCCGAATGTGTGAGAGTTGAGAGGTCTGCGATATGTTTCCACTTAATTTCTTGTGCTAAGCCATCAAAAATCTCTTGTCTTTGGTCGACTGGAGTTTTCAATGAAGTTGGCAATATTGTACATGGTTTGCAATCACTGTCACAAAGTAATGTACTAAGAAGAGTATTAGAACCAGTTAAACTATCTTTCAATTTTGTTATCCTTTCAACACTTATTTCTCTTGCCATAGGTGGGGTAGCACAGTAGCCATCTCTTGATGCAGACAAAATAGGTCTTTTCCTTTTACTATTATTGTCCCTTTCAAAGTTAGCCTTTTCAAATTTCAATTCAGTAAATAGTAATGGTCCGTGTGTATCCATATTTCATGCAACATTCCATTGCTGTAAAACATCAGTACAGTTTTTGTCATCGGGGACAACACTTAAACCAATTTCCACAAAGTCATGTACTTGAAACAGAGTAGCTGCGACATGTTTACAACACCCCCCAGCCTTGCAAGAACACTTTGCTTTTACAACTTTACCATCTGTTTAGGAGAGATGGACATAGACAGTGTATGATTGCTGTTTCACGCACACACAAGGCTCTTACCCAAAAAGAGTTTGGAGTTGGCTTGCACATTCGGTTTGACACGAAATGTTTTTACATAATTCTCTTTAAATAAGCAATATCCCATTTTCTTGTGATGGGCAGCAGTAGGACGATTCTATTTCGTCATCACTGCATCCAGGATCCCATGAGATAGCACGCACGCATGCGCCATCAGTGCGACACAAAAACGCTGTCAGGAAGAAGCTCTTTTTCATGCTTATATCGTTTTTTTGTTTTTTTTCTTTCATTTTGACCAGAGCCACCTGAGGGTTTGTGGCTAATCTTACATAAATCAACTCACAAGAATGTCAAGGTGACAAAATGAGTGACGAAGATGAATTCCATCACCTGAATGACGAAGCCGAAGGTCTTGAAGAACAGTCTAGCGAAGATAAAATGGCGGGAATACTACAAGGACTTCAATCAACTGTGAAGGAACTCACACAGGCGCCCCGTTCAGACAGAAACGTTGAGTAGTATCAGAGAAGACCTCCTGCTTCAATCTGATGCAATAGATCAGGACGAGCAAAGCGGCAACAGCACAGAAAACGGCCTAAATGTCAGCTCAATCATTGCTAACTTGCTTGACTCGAGCACAGAGCACGAGGCCCCAAAGTCTAGCCCTGATGCAGCGGTAGACAATGACATAATTGATAGCCTGACTCAGGCTTACTTAGCAAATCCGAAACAGTTCCCACCTGTGGAGACTAAAATTGCTACCTTTATTGAACAAGTCTTGACAGGAGAAATACCCACCACCAGATAATTGCCAACACCTCACAACCGTAATGGTTAATGAGGAAATATGGGACTTGTTGTCGAGGAAAAGCAGAACAGTTGATCTTGGATTTCAGAAATTTCAAGGGCCCTTTATGCAAGGGTTATCAACTCTAACTATCCTGGCCGATAGGCTGTTAAAGGATGTTAAAAATAGCAAAAACACCAACATTCGTGAAGTCTTGCAACAACTTATGGATGGCATTGTCCTACTAGGAAATGCAAACTGGAACTTAATCATGAAGAGGCGAGAGTTCATTAAATCCGATTTGAACCCGCCCTACACACAACTGTGTAAAGAGGATATTAAACCCACTACCAAGCTATTTGGGGATGACCTCTCCAAGCTCCTTAAGGAAATGTCGGAAGCCAAAAGGGCTGCCCAGCAAATACAGAAAACTGTGTCTTCTGCAAAGGTTATGAAAAATCGAGGCTACCGGTTTAAACCATATGATAAACCGACAACCAGTTTTGGCCAGACTTGGCAACCTGCAAACAAGTCGTACAACTACAAGCGTCCTTTTTTAGGACACAGTTGGGCGACCAGCCAAGCAACGACCGAGAAGGCAGAACAACCACAACAACAAATCCCAGTAACCCAAGAGGTAATATTTAACTATTCTAACACTAATGATTTGGTTAATATATCAACTAGTGCATTGCACAACTCATGCATGGTCCTTTCAAGCTGGTCAAGTGAGACACTTTATACAGAATTGGGCCATACTGACTAGTGACCCATTTTAAATGCTGTAAAGCATTATCACATTGAATTTGAGGGGGATTTCCCTGTACAAACACAAAGGCCTTATCAAATCAGATTTTCTGCAGAGGAAACACAAATAATAGATTCAGAAATCTTGAAATATTTATCAAAGCATGTTATTGAACCTGTTTGTGTGACTCCAGAAAGTTTTGTATCCACCATTTTCATTAGGCCTAAAAAGGATGGTTAACACAGGATGATACTGAACCTCAAACCATTCAATGAGTTTGTGGATTACAACCATTTTAAAATGGATACATTTCAAACTGCCGTGAAACTTATCCGACCTGGATGTTTCATGGCATCAATTGACCTTAAGGATGCCTACTATTCCATACCAGTTGCGGATGAGGATAGGAAATTCCTTATGTTCGAATGGCAAGGAACCTTTTACCAATTCACTTGTCTCCCTAATGGACTTTCTTGTGCCCCTGGGGTTTTTACAAAAATCTTAAAGCCTGTGTACTCTCATTTGAGAGGTTTAAGACACACTTGTATGGGTCACATTGATGATTCCTTATTGTTAGGCTACGACCGTGAAGCTTGTAAAAACAATATTGAAGATTCTACAAACTTGTTCCAACAATTGGGGTTTGTCATACACCCTGAGAAATCAGTTTTGCATCCAGTACAAGCTATTGAATTCCTAGGATTTGTGATTAATAGCCTGTCTATGACAGTGAGGCTTATACCTAGGAAAATCACCAAGGTCAAATCCTTTTGCAATAGCTTATTAAATAAACATAAACCTACTATAGGGGAGGTTGCTCAGGTAATAGGCCTGCTGGTCTCCAGTCTCCCAGCAATACAGTTCGGGCCTCTGCATTATAGAAACCTAGAAGGGGTTAAAATTTTGGCGCTACTTGCCAACAAAGGCAACTTTGATTCACCTATGACCCTTTCCCACCAGTCTAATTTAGAGCTTGTGTGGTGGGTGAATAATATTGACTCTGCTTTTAAACCAATTTTGCAGGGCACTCCTGCAGTAATTCTTACTACCGATGCTTCCACCCTTGGTTTGGGTGCTGTTTTGGGTGATACCAGAACAGGTGGTCCATGGGGCCAGACAGAACAGCAATACCACATCAATTGTTTAGAGATGCGGGCTGTTTTACTGGGGTTAAGATCCCTCTGCAAACATGTTTCCAAACAGCATGTTAGAGTTCAATGTGATAATACTACAGCAATTGCCTACATCAATGCAATGGGGGGCATAAAATCTAAGGAATGTGACAATTTGGCAAAACAGATTTGGGAATGGTATTTAGCCCAAGATGTATGGCTTAGTGCATGTCACATCCCAGGGTCCCAGAATGTGGAGGCAGATGCAGTATCAAGGGTATTTAACCTCTCAACCGAGTGGTCTCTTTCCCTCCCGGTGTTTGCAGACATTGCAAGGAGATGGGGAAGCTTTGATATAGACTTATTTGCTTCACGGCTTAACTATAAAGTACCTTGCTATGTCTCTTGGTGACCTGACCCTGATGCCAAATTTATTGATGCTTTTTATATGGATTGGGGACCATATTTATTTTATGCTTTCCCACCTTTCAGTATGATAGCAACATGCCTCCAGAAAAAAAACACAAGACAAAGCAACAGGAGTGTTAATCGTACCCATCTGGACAACGCAACCCTGGTTCACAGGGATACTGAACTTGCTCATGGACAAACCGCTCATTCTTCCTCAATCAAACACACTGCTGACACAACCCCACAATGGGGATCTTCACCCACTGCGACATCAGCTACGTCTAATGGCTTGCAAAGTCTCTGGCAAAGCTTCCAACATAGAGGAATTTCAAATGATGCTACTGCCATCATCCTCCAGTCATGGTCTGCTGGTACCCAGAAACAATACCAACCGTACATTGCCAAGTGGCACCGATTTTGTGCTGAACGGGAGATTAATCCCTACAATCCACCTTTGAACATTGTGCTAGACTTTTTGGTACACCTTCATAACCACGATCTTGAATACACAACAATAAACACAGCCAGAAGTGCAATTTCAGCCATTATACTACCTCAAGGGACCACTACCATAGGAAGCCATCCGATTATCTCATGATTCATGAAAGGCATCTACCGGTCCAAGGCCAAAGTATCAAATTACTTGGGATGTACAACCAGTACTAACATATCTATCTTCTCTTGGAACTGCTAACAACCTGGATGTCAAGACCCTTTCATTGAAATTGCTTATGTTGGTTGCTCTGGTTTCTGCCCAAAGAGGGCAAAGCCTACACATGCTTGATATAACTCTTATGAAACAGGATGAATCCTCATTCGAGTTTTTGTTACCAGAACTTGTGAAGCAAAGTCGACCAGGGTACACCCCCCCCCCCCTTCAATTGTTCTGCATGCCTTTCCTGCTGATGAATCATTGTGTGTTTTTAATCATGTGCGAACATACATAAATCAAACGAAACCACTTAGAGGGAACGAAACAAAACTTTTCATCAGCTATATGAAACCACATAATCGAATTTCGAGAGACACTATATCTAGATGGATACGTCAAACTATGACAAATGCTGGAGTCGATGCTCAGATTTTTAAACCGCACAGTACCAGAGCTGCTGCGACTTCAAAGGCTAAAGAAGCCTCGGTTCCTATTCAGGATATCCTCAATAAGGCAGGGTGGTCCTCGTCGCAAACTTTTGATAAGTTTTATCACAAACACATTGTCAGCAATGAACAAACATTTGCTACCGCTGTTCTGAGCTCTAAATGAGTCAAATAGGTACTATATATTCTCATCAATGTTGGAGTTGTCTCCACATTAATTGTTGATATGTTATTGTGGGATTTGTTACATTAAAGACTGTTGCTATCGTCTCTCATGTGAATGTTGGCTTTGAAATCTCATGGGATCCCGGATGCAGTGATGACGAAATAGAATTGAAAATTAAACGAAACTTACCTGGAAGTTGAAGTTTGATTGGAATTCTATGAGTCATAACACTGCATCTAGGGATCACATGCCCGCCCTGTTGGATTCCCAACATTCCCAACCCTATTTTATTATAGGGCATCAACTAGAGAAACTGGATTCACATTTGAGCTTTAAAAACTGATGGCACATGTGTGCTTGCTATCTCATGTGATCCCTAGATGCAGTGTTATGACTCATAGAATTCCAATCAAACTTCAACTTCCAGGTAAGTCTCGTTTAATTTTCAATTATCGGCCATTGTCTCCGAATTTTCCACCAAATGCTTGTGACTAAATGCATATTCAAAGGCCAAAAGATTAATCAGAAATCGAGCAAATGTAGCATCCTGTAAAATTTCTCAGAAAAATTCTTTGTGTCTTAGCTTGCTCCACTGTTGAACCACCGTTTAGTAGATCGTCCACGTACATGCTTCGACATAGATGCTCGACTTCTTCAGGATAAGTTTTGGACCAGGTGTCTAAATGGGGTCTCGATTACACCATGGAGTAGATAAAGTGAGGGTACAACACCAAATAAGACTCTCGTAAACCGTAGGGTCTCCAATGGTGACAGATCATCTCGACACCAATTAAACCGTAGCACATCTCTCTCAAAAGAACAAAACAATAGACGCTCCGAAAATAGTTAACATTTTAATGTGGTTAAATATATTTAAGCAAGGTTAACGGCGGATGTATTACGCATGCTACATCCGCTGAGGGGAGTCTGTGACGTCATATCGATCAAAGGGGGTTGTTTCGCGCCTTGTGATCATTGCTTTGGTCTGGGTATTCATTCTGCCATTGTATGCTTTGCCTAGTTGCAGCAAGTTTTAGCGCCTCATTACTTTTTCTCTGTTGTTACATTATTTTGCTTGCGTTATGCCTCATTATGACAGAAATAGTCGAGAATCTGGACCCGTCTTTCCAGGCGTTGTTAGTTCGGAGCAGTCTAGCTCGGAATCGCGTACATCTATTGGCGATACATCTAGTGCATCTACGACCACAAACACTGTTGTTCAGTCGGGAACGAGTATGATGCCAGCATTGTCGACCGGGGATATTGTTACCAATGTAGTCCAAGTATTACAAGGTCAACTAACCAGCCTGGTACAGAATGCCATTGACGCCCTACTATCTTCGTCGGCAAGTGGTAGTTCAGGCGCAAATTGCGAGGTATCGTCGCAGGCACAGCTCTCTACAGTCACATCCCGTACAGCGTCCTTCGTGCATAACCTTGCGACCAGTGCGGGGAATTTTTCGACTTTGGGTTCAGCGCCATTTCGATCGTCGGCTACGAGTGAGGCAAGTACCGGTATGCCACGTATGGTGAGTTGTTTGGCGAATTCAACAGGTAGGATCATTCCAAACTTTTTAAATACATTTACTGCTCCTATCAGCTCAAGTGTGTGGTCTTCGGGAGGTGGTTATAGTACCCCCGAGGTTGCCTTAGCGTCACAACCTTCAGTTGTGCCTTCGCTGCCATCAGTATTGGATTTGGCTGGTTATTCTAGCGCAGAACAATTGTTACCCCAGTCTCTTCATGGTCATGGCCCTTCCCCGTTTATCGTGGGTCCAGGTTACGCTCCCATCTCCGCTAAAATTGTTAATGCCATTGTGTCAGGGAAGCACATTAATCTTGGGGACCTACTCCCGGAAAATGCGCTGGTTGTGGACGATTTTAGCGAACCACAGTTATTGTTAGACGGCCGTCTAGTGTTAACGGGTTCTGCGCGAAAGCCTCGGAAAGAAATAACCGATATCTTGTCTTGGGTCGAAGCCTTCACAGTCTTCAGCGTGATTGTCTGTTCGTACTTTCCGAACCGATGGCGTGATTTGTCATCGTACAAGCTTTTAATTTTGCGCACGTATCGTCAGTTTGCTGGTTATGCATGGTGTGATTACGATAAAGCGTTTAGACAACACGCTGCTGCTACCAGGCTCTTGGACTGGTCGGAACTTAATGTGCAGCTTTTTAATTTCCACACGGCTGGTTCGGCCTATAGAGGTCCCAACAGCCTTACTACAGCGTCTAGTAGTTCTTGTTCCGAGCCTAATGGTAATCGTAACCATGACTGTTCGGTTAGCTACCTGCTTGGCATGAAGTGGCGGGGAAAGTTTTATGTGGACCTGGTATTACCTTTTGGTTTACGTTCGGCACCGTTCATTTTTAATTCGATAGCGGATCTCGTAGAATGGATTCTGCGTAACAATTACATGATACGGGACCTCTTGCATTACCTCGACGATTACATAACCGCTGGCCCCCGTTGCCGTCCTGATTGTGCACGGAATTTAGTTGTCGCGTCCTCAGTGTGCCAGAGTTTAGGCCTACCATTGCATCCGGACAAAACCGTGGGTCCAACTACATGCTTGATCGTCCTGGGTATTGAACCTGATTCTGTGCTACAAACCGTGCATCTTCCCGCCACCAAATTACTAGCTCTCAAGGGTCTTTTCACCGAATGGAGCGCGAGGAAGTGGTGTACACACGTACAATTGGAATCGCTGATAGGCAAACTCCATCATGCTTGCCTTGTTGTTTGGCCCGGTCGTATGTTTCTCCGTCGGATGATTAATTTGCTGTGCGCGTTTCGGAGCCGTGATCATCCAATCCGACTTAATGTCGAATTCCGTTTAGATCTCCAGTGGTGGATCGAGTTTCTAGACGATTGGAACGGGACAAGTTTCACATTGCTCCCAGGTCTCATGCCCGTGGCGGACTTATGTGTTACATCCGATGCTGCTGGCGCTATCGGGTACGGTGCATTATATCACCAACAATGGTTCAGCCATAAATGGATGCCCTCTCAAATGCCAATGTCGATTGCCTACAAAGAGTTCTTTCCAGTCGTTATTGCCGCTCATCTCTGGGGTGATCAGTGGGCCCACCGACGGGTTTGCTTCCGTTTGGACAACTCTTCCGTGGTCCACATTTTAAATGCGCGTACTTCTCGGGATCACCACATTATGGGTTTAGTACGTTCGCTCCTTAGTGTAGCTGCCCGGTTTAACTTTACTTTCCAAGCCCAGCACATCCCTGGTCTAGCTAACCCTGTGGCTGACACACTGTCTCGTTTTCGTTGGCAGGTGTTCCGACAACTACAATCCTGGCAAAAATTATGTGGACACCTAACCTTTGTAAGGTTAATATTAACATTGAGACGTTCTTTCATGAAATTTGTCGCCCCCTGCCCCCTATTCAATGTTGTTTCTCGCACTCAAATTTTAAAGGTTTCATTTACCAACATTGAGTTGGGGGTAGGAGGGGGAGAAATTTTCTGGCGGATTAATTATGTAGAAATATATCTATTTTTGTTTGACGCACGCGCTGTCCACGATAATTTTTGCCAGGATTGTCTGAAATTATCACATATTTCCAACTGCCTGATTTCATGAATTTAAGGCTCGATCCAATGATAAAATAGGCTTGTTTGTTTAGCAAAAGGAGCAAACAATTAGTAAATCAGGTTATATTTAGTTTTTTACTTTCCGATCTATGTTAAGTGTCACCTATCACATTACATGTCAAGTGGCCTTTTACGTATTATCAGGATTTATACAATTACAACTTAGTCTGCAACTCTAAAAATAGGTACGCAAGCGTACATGTATCTGCGAAAAAACTGGATTCACATTTTGTATTTCCTTGAAAAGAACTGAATAATGAAGATGACATGGGACAATTGAAATATTTCATCACTTATTATTATAATAAATATAATAGCAAATAAGACTTTAGCGGAGGGCAGCAAGGACAACTGCCCCCCCCCCCCCGCCGCCGAGAAAATGTAACTAATTTTATATAAATGTGATTATGATTGTAACATAATTATGCAGTCAAGAAATAAAAATGTCATGCAAACAATATTTGAAGTGTCTATACAGCCAACAGCCGGCTATTTAGTAAACTGTCACTTGTCAAACCATGAAGTTTCAAAACTTTATTGTAATCATATGAAGCAAAAGTTCTGTCACTTGTTGTTTACACTTGCCAATGTTAGGGGTGCACTGGAACTCGGTTCCGGTCGGAACCCTGATTTGTGAGAGTTCCGGTTCCGGCCTGAACTAATAAAAAACCATGGCCGGAACCGGAACTTTGTCCTTTTCAGAGAGATAGAATATCAAGTTTATTGCTGCGGAGCGAGCGAGCCTGAAGCGAGCGAGCGTAGCAGCAACCTAATATGTGCAGAGGGGGGGGTTGAACTAAATTTTATTCCGCGTATGGAATTGTGGTCGTGCGCACTTTCTATGCGCAGAACACAAATTTTAAACTCGCTCCAATTTTATCGAATTTCTAAAGCTTTTTCAAGTCTAATGTTACGCTTACATTTGTTTTGGACTTTGGCCACTGTCAGTTCTATATTTTTATAAAGTTTTGGTTTCTTAGTGTGATAAATCTGTGTATATAGTCTATATAATGTGATAAATGCGCCTGGCAGTAAACAGACTTAGTATGAAATCTGATCTTAATTTACCTGCATGCCAATGAGACGCACATGTTTAATATCTGTCACCTCTGATTGCCCTTTAACCCCGGCTTCTTCTCAGTTCCATTCACAGCTCACTAGTCGCTGCGAGTAATCACTGTGCTAATGTGATTGATATAATTTGTGCTGTTTACTATAGTTCTATATGCTTTTAATGCAATCCCTACATTGCAGGTACCCTAGTTTTTTGAATAGCATAGGACGAAATTTGGACTACACAAGATAAATGTACACTATTAATACTTTATTATGACGTTTAAGTGAATATTTTTATTCTAAGACTTCTAACATTTGCATGCTCTCTCCTTGTATCCTGATTAAACTGCGCTTTAAAACGTTCGACATAAAAATACTATCAAAATGAAGAGAGACGAATCTACTGGTATGCGGCCGAAAAAGAGAAAACCAACGATACCAAAGTTATCAAGGATCAAACGTACTGCATTATTTAGCGAATTTTATTAATTAACGAACTGCATTATTTTATTGAATAATTTTAAGCGATTTGTCAACAATAGTCAATACGATTTCGCTTGGCTTTCAAAGACAAAGGCCACAATTTCCATAAATCGCTAGAATACTGTTGTTTAGTAAAAATTTGACATCCGTAAGTACAATTTCTTACGCTGAATCGAACGGTGGTATTTTTATCCGTATTGTGCCATTAGGCATTACAAATACAAAGACAAACGTACTGCGAGTGATTTGTCTGTCTGTCAGCAAATATCCCATATACGTATACTGCGAGCGATTTGTCAACAATACAATTTCGCTTGATTTTCAAAGGCCATAAATCGCTAGAACACTGTTGTTTAGTAATACATTTGACATCCGTAAATGCAATTTCTTACGCTGAATCGAACGGTGGTTTATTTATCCTTATTGTGCCATTATACATTAGGTGTCATCATTGTCATTAGACATTACAATATCATATTTCACACTACAGTTTTCACATTCCACAGCTAACTATTAGGGGCTGTTGCTGCATAAATTTTATATTGATATGACACCAATATGCTTCTCATAAAGTAGTTATCTATTAAAACTACGTTGTGTAGTTTAGGTTATAACCTTTTACCTTGCAATTGTCTTTGGCTCGTTTATAATCAGATTCAGTATATTTAATATGATCGTGCACGCGCTAATTCAAAGATCCAAATTTCGGATTTTCAGAGTCGTGTACCAAGAAAAATGCATTAACTAAACTAGCAAAAATGCCCAGAGTTAGACACAATGCAAAATCCATAGAAAACCGGTACAATTCGTTGAAAATTTTAACGAAATTGTTTGAAACATTTTGCCCACTCACGAAAGCCCGCCATCTTGAAAAGGATAAATTGGGTTTATTACACGATGTAAACAATCGATGTAAACTAATCGCTGATTGGCTTAAATATATCATGAATTGGCTCAATTATATAAGCTCTTCGCTGAATGGCTATGTGTTAACATACGGTACGTTTGCGATGGCAATATATCTGCTTCGCAGATACAAAAAGAAATATATTCGTTTTACAAATTATTGAACATTGTGGAGAATGACGATGTCTTACAGTACTTAGTCAGACAGTGCAGAATGTTCAGCCAAAAAATGCGAGGTTTGTTTACCTCATAAGTTAGAGCCAAACAGATCTATCTTTAGTTCCTGAGCGTGAAACATTTGCATCATTGGTAATATACATGCATTTCATAATGCAGATCCTTTGTTAGCCTGCAACATTTTGCAATGGGTTTGCAGCATGGAGCATCATATTCCAGCCCGTGTATTCATACAATATAACTGTATAAAACTGTACAAATGTGTAAGTAATGTTATTTTGAAAGTGTAGTAAATTGATACAGTACACGGCTATGTAGCGTAACCAAATTCACACTAAATATAATAGACTATATAGGGTTATTTTACTGTATACGCATCTGAAGCGCTCACTATTTTCAGATTTTTTGTAACAAGTGCAACCCAACAGCGACTGTAGAGCGCCTTTAATCTAACAGTGACATGACACGGTACACGGCTGTGTATCGTATAGTAAAGAATACACAGCTTAAATATTTTAATCACCACACTACACAGCCGTGTACCATGTGACGTCACTGTTAGATTAAACGCGCTCTACAGTCGCCGTTGGGATGCGTTTGTTATAAAAAATCTGAAAATAGTGAGCGCTTCGGATGCGTATACACAAAAATATATTTAGTGAGAATTTGGTTCCGCACTTAAAGTACTTTTGTTGAAAACTCGTCTTACTGCGTCTGCATAATTAGTTCAGCAAAGCGTATATCATGCCCAAAAGCCGCTCACCCACAAAATTATAAATATGCTTTAAAAACAATTAAACCAGTTTAAACAATCTGTTTGTTATCCTAAAACAATGGCAGCATCAAAAATTTATAGTAAAAAGCCTGTTTTGGGTGAAAATTATGGATATTTTTTTAGGTCATTTTCAGACAATCCTGGCAAAAATTATGTGGACACCTCACTTTCCTACGCCAATATTAACATTGAGACGTTCCGTTTCGTGAAATTTGTCACCCCTGCCCCCTATTCAATGTTGTTTCTCGCACTCAAATTTTAAAAGTTTCATTTACCAACATTGAGTTGGGGGTAGGAGGGGGAGAAATTTTCTGGCGGATTAATTATGTAGAAATATATCTATTTTTGTTTGACGCAGGCGCTGTCCACGATATAATTTTTGCCAGGATTGTAGCTCCGGACTCCTCAGCAATGCCCACGCCTATTCCAGAAGAGATCCTGCAGCGGCTGGCTCCCACCAATTAGAGGCCCAGTGCCAACGTTACCTACAACAGGGTTTAGCGTCGTCAACCCAAAGGACCTATTCGTCAGCCCAACGCACCTTCTTACGTTTTTGTGAAGGAGCTAATCTAATGAACTCGCATGGTTCTCCTTTGCCTGCTGAAGAATGGACCCTGTGCCTGTTTGCGACATGGCTGGCCGACGATTTAAAAGCAGCGTCGATTAAAGTGTGTTTGTCTGCCGTTTGAGCTCTTCACATAAACAGGGTTTTCCAGATCCGTTGAGTGGTTGCTTACATCTACAACGAGTTTTAAAGGGCATTAAATGCTGCCAAGGTTTTTCCTCTGACAAGAGACTCCCAGTCACCCCGGCAATCCTCCATGCTATCTACAGTCATCTCGATCTCTCACAGTATGACGTTATGTTTTGGGCGGCCTGCTGTCTAGCCTATTTCGGGTTCTTACGTTCATGCGAATTTACTGTCCCGAATGGTGCCACGTTCTCGCAAGCCTTACATCTCTCCGTCCACGACATCGCTGCTGACCAACGGGTGGCTCCTTCTAGGATCCAAGTGAACATTAAAGTGTCCAAAACTGATCCTTTCCGTCAAGGTTGTATCCTCACGTTGGGACAAGGCCGCTCCCCTTTGTGCCCGGTGGAAGCGATGCTGAATTTCCTGGAACTACGGGGCGGCTCGGCTGGTCCATTGTTCATTAGGTCAAATGGTGTTCCTTTGACTAGGACCTATTTATCGGAACGGTTACCTCGGTTGCTAAGCGACGCGGGAATTCCTGGCAATTTTAGCAGTCACAGTTTTCGCATTGGTGCTGCCACGTCCGCCGCTTTGGCAGGTGTTCCCAATCACCTGATCCAAACATTAGGACGGTGGTCCAGCTCCGCGTACTTGACATACATTCGGACACCACGTAGCTTGTTATCCAATTTAACGAAGAGTTTATGTTAAAAAATAATATATATTTTATTCCCGTTGCAGTCAGTTGCGTGTATTTCTGGTAATTTTAGTACAGATATAATTTAACGTCTCTGAGCGCGTGTAGTGGGTGCCATAGTTTGTGGTCAGTTCTTGGAGATAAGTGCACATGACAATTTGCCATGGCACTTCCTCTTCAAGTTCATATTGGAACTACATGGTCGTTTTATTCATACTGGAGCTATGAATGTTGTTGAATTCATACTGGAGCTATGAATGTTGTTGAATTCATACTGGAGCTATGAATGTTGTTGAATTCATACTGGAGCTATGAATGTTGCTTAATTCATACTGGAGCTATGGATGTTGTTTAATTCATACTGGAGCTATGAATGTTGCTTAAGTCATACTGGAGCTATGAATGTTGTTTAATTCATACTAGAGCTATGAATGTTGCTTAAGTCATACTGGAGCTATGAATGTTGTTTAATTAAGTCATACCGAAGCTACTAAGGTTGTTGAATTCATACTGGAGCTATGAATGTGACCTTATTCATACTGGAGCTATGAACTTGAAGGTACTGACCATTGTGGAGGTATGCCTTGGCAGAATTGTCATGGCTATCTCTTTTTGCTGCTAATATTACTGATTGTTGCTCTCATTGTTGCTGCACAGCTGCTATGGCAATACTTCTTGCCATCAAAGCTAGTTGCGGCCTTGGACCACAAACGGCACCTACCTCCAAACACTAATACTCTGCCGTCAAATGTGGTTAAATATATTTAAGCAAGGTTAACGGCGGATGTATTATGCAGGCTACATCCGCTGAGGGGAGTCCGTGACGTCATATCGATCAAAGGGGTTGTTTCGCGCCTTGTGATCATTGCTTTGGTCTGGGTATTCATTCTGCCATTGTATGCTTTGCCTAGTTGCAGCAAGTTTTAGCGCCTCGTTACTTTTTCCCCACCCACCCACTCATGATATTCTAGAGGATTTTATCTGGTAGTCTGTCGGTATTTTTTTTTTGGGGGGGGGGTTGTTTGGGGGGGTTTTTTGTGTGTTTTTTTTGTTTGTTTTTTTAATCTCACAGGAATAGGATGTATAGACAACTATACATTGTATTTCGTTTCCACTGACTTGTCAGTGTGACTGGTGCCGGAGGTATGCCTTGGCAGAATTGTCATGGCTATCTCTTTTTGCTGCTAATATTACTGATTGTTGCTCTCATTGTTGCTGCGCAGCTGCTATGGCAATACTTCTTGCCATCAAGGCTAGTTGCGGCCTTGGACCACAAACGGCACCTACCTTCAAACACTAATACTCTGCCGTTAATGGCAGGAGACTTTAATTTTCATGTAGATAACATTAGAGATCCAGATACTATTAAACTCAACAAGATACTAGAATCGTTTAATTTACAACAGCACGTCAATGGGCCAACCCACAAGAAAGGCCTCACCTTAGACTTGATTATAACAAAATGATCTAGTAATATCAGATATTCAGATCATCTTGTTATACATTGTACATTACAGTTAGAGAAACCACCATTAGATCAAGCAGAAATTTACTATCGAAAATTAAACAATGTAAACATGGATAGTTTCAATGAAGACCTGAAAGTACTAGATTTACATGATGATTATGATCTACCACTAGTCGGACCGTCCTTATTGATAAATATGGAAATATGTTGAAAGAAAAATTACAGCAGCATGCCCCACAAAAACGACGAATTATAACTCTTCGTCCTTCATCACCATGGTATAATGAGGATATTGGTAAAGAAAAAATAAATCGCAGGAAACTAGAGGAGTAGAGCGCCGCTGGCGCGCATCTGGATCAGTTTATTGACAGACAGTTATATGTTAAACAATGTGAGACAGTGAATGCCATGATAAAGAATGCTATTAAAGACAACATACTACTCATCGGTTATTTCTAATAATGCACATAAATGACATAATAAGAAAGTGTTATTTAGTACGGTTGATCGATAAATTACTCCATCGAAAGCCAGAAAAACAGCGCTATCCAACTACGTCATCAACGAGTGAACTCGTGAATAAATTTGCAGATTTCGTCAGTAATAAGATAGCTACTATACGGAAAGAACTAACCATGGATTCTTCCCATTGTAATCAGCTAAATCAAGAGGAACAATATGTACAGTGGCAGTGCGTTAATTAAATTCATTAACTTTCAAGAAGTCACGGAACATGAGATTAAAAATGTTATTGATAAAGTTGGTAAAAAATCTTGTTAACTTGATCCAGTTCTTGCAAAAATCATTCAAGGTTGTCAGAAGACTCTCTTACCTATAACTACTAAGATCAGTAATGAGTCACTTCAGTCAGATTGTATGGCTGACTAGCCTGAGAAACTAAAAGAAGCCGTTAAAATTCCTGTCTAAAGTAATTGAGAAGGTTGCTGCCGGTCAGCTTCTGGAACATTTGGCTAATAACAACCTAGAAGAACCTTTCCAGTTGGATATAAACGCTCAGTTCATAGTACAGAAACAGCCCCCATTAAAAGTAGAAAACGATATTCCTGTCATTGATAATCGTAAGTGTGTTGTGTTGCTATTACCGATATATGTCAGCAGCATTCGATATTGTTGATCACGAAGTAATATATGAACAACGAGAGCGAGTGTTTTACCCGGATATCCAATCACGAGAAAACAATAACGTAATTATAGGAATTCTATTCAAGTAATTTTGCATGCGTAATTAAGATATTTGATGAAAACACTAGTGACTTTCATCAAGTTTCACCGGGTTATCCAAATGGCATCTTGTGATCAAATAGGTGATTATCATTGGCTGAATTGCTCATGAATTATTAATGATTTGAGAAATTATAATACAATTTTTTCTACCAGTTTTGTTCAAAATCATAAAAGCTATTTGAAAAAGCTATTTCAAATTGTGTTATTCTATTCCAAATTGTGTTTTTCTATTTCAAATTGTGTTATTCTACTTCAAATTGATATTCGATTTAAATAAACATAAATTAGGTGCAAGGATAACATAATTTTTATTCAAATTTTGACCCTAATAACGCTTCATATAGTATATACAGGACTGATTGGATGGATTCTATTTTTACAGATGCCAAGAAAAATAATCCTGAGATGTGTAGAATACTTGAAGAAGAATATCCTGGTTAAATATGGCATCCCACAAAAGGGAATCACACTGTTAATTTCAAGGAGTTATTTTGACTCCCCTGAGAGTTAAGATTTGGGAGAAAAATTTTTTGGAGGTAAAAAACTACTCCACTTCGATATGTATTCGAACATATACTCCACTGGGAGTCAATTTAACTCCACTTAAAGGAGTAAAAATAACCCTAAAACAGGAGTAAATATAACGGAGTAAATTGTACTCTATATATTCCAGGGGATGTTTTAACTCCCAATTAATCGTAGTAGTCCCTACTCAGCCTGTGTAATATAACTCGACCATTACACATATAACTTCATAGGAATGCCAAAACAGTAGTAATATACCGGGCTTAATGAACCCCATTTGATGAGCATAATTAGTACGGCTTAATTTATTCATAAACCAAATTAAGTATTAGCTAATTTATTCGTCACTGAGTTAATTTATTCCTGTCGCAAAACAAGGCGAGCTATTTTTAGAGTGTCATTCTATTCAAGTTATTTTGCATGCGTAATTAAGATATTTGATGAAAACACTAGTGACTTTCATCAAGTTTCACCGGGTTATCCAAATGGCATCTTGTGATCAAATAGGTGATTATCATTGGCTGAATTACTCATGAATTTGAGAACTACTTTTATTACAACGAATGTTCAAAAGATTTGGGATAGATGGGCAAGTATTGAAATGGTTTCGGTCCTATCTTCAAAATAGAACGCAAAATGTAGCAATTATGGTGTTAAATCTATCTCTAAAAATTTGCGCTGTGGAGTCCCGCAAGGATCAGTTCTCGGTCCTGTACTATATTTACTATACACTTCACCCCTTGGTGATATCATCAGAGGTCATGGTCTTGACTTTCACTTTTTACGCAAATGACTAACAATTATATCTCGCTTTTGAGTCCACCACTGAGGAAAAATTGGGAGTACTGGTACAAATTGAAATGTGCGTGAAAGAGATTGATTTGTGGATGGCCAAAAATAAATTTAAATTGAATGGGTCAGTACAAGACCGAGCTATTAGTAATCAATGCACGAAATCTCTAATTCAAGAATTCAACCAAGTATACTTCAGCATGTAACATTGGTGTAACTTTCGACCAACACATGCATGTCTATGTATAAGCATGTTACCATTGCAAGACTACTGTTTTTTTTTTCATTTGAGAAACTGAATAGCAAGAATAAAAGAGTACTTATCAACGTTAACGTCAGATATCCAAACTTTAATTCATGCCTTTACAGCATTACATCGAAACTGGATAATTGTAACTCTTTATTATACGGATTGCCTAAATTTCTTATTGATCGGTACGGTTACAGAAATTACAGAATGCGCAAAACTGTGCTGCTCGTCTGGTGACAGAGAAAACATATACGATCCGGCATATTACCCCAATAATGAAACAATTTCATTAGCTCCCCATTACTCATCAGTGAAAAGTCATCTATAAAATTGTTCTTATTACGTATAAATCTCTGAACGGTTTAGCTCCATGCACATTACATTAATAATATGCTAAAACCTTTCACATGCACCATCAGTAAACTTACGCTCCTCATCCAAAGGATTTTACCGTACCCTCAGTAAGACTACCAGACAAGTGAACTATGGTGAACGATCACTCTCATTTGCTGCACCGAAACTGTGGAACGAACTGCCACCAGAGTATATTAGAAAGAGTGAGACGTTGCCCATTTTCAAAACCAGATTAAAGACATACATCTTTTTAAACAGTATTATGACTAATTTTAAGTTATTATTTTAACAACAGTATTAGTAATTTTATAGTATTTTATATATAGTTGTTGTTTTAATATTGTCAACATACATGACATAAAGTATGGAATGATGCTATGTAAATGAATAATAATAATAATTCAATGGTAGACGTTTCCATCTTTTATATTGATATGGACATAGCGCTAGCGAAAGCTACAAATCAGTATGTAAAGCTGACTAAAGGAATTCGAATTCTCGTTCCATGTACATGCATGTTCTCAACTATGCATGTTCTCAACTATGCATGTTCTCAACTATGCATGCTCTGTAGGATATGAAGTAATGATATGGTATTGCTTGTATTTGCTTCTTTTCGATGCTAAAAGTCTAAAATTTCATGCATAGTCAAGAAGTAGATATAAACAGAGGCGTAGCCAGGATTTTTGGTCAGGGGAGCAGAAAAAACCTAGGTGAGGCCAGGCTTCACTTATTTTCTACTTTATAGAATGAATTTTCTCAGGCAGGGGGGGGGGCAAAATTTTACCAAGGGGGTGGGTCCCCCGGCCCCCGCCCTGGCTACGCCTCTGTAGTTAAATTCAATGCTATATAAAACTGTATGGTATATTTTGGTCTGCCAATGCTTTGACAAAATACTGGGGATATAAACGTATATAATATTTTTCGATGTAAGATGACAAACAAAATATCCTACCTCCTGGTGACACCGTCTTCTTCATTCCAATCTCCATCCCAAAATTTAAAATTGTTGCAGATTAATTGCATATATATTATTAATAAAACCTCGAATGTTCTTTGCAACTGTGTTGAAATGCTATGAAGTAATGGTTCGATTATTATGATCCTACCATTAATTAGATGCATGCATGATATGTGGCTCTATTATAAACATGAAATAGCTTCACTACATTAGAACTTTCTTTATTTCTGTTTTGAACAATTGACATTTTCATTTGTTTGTATATTTTCAATCATAGTCTGAACCAGGGCCGCCGGAACGATGTGAAGGCAAGGGGGGCAGATTTTCGTGAAAGGGCACTTTTAAATTTATATATATATATATATAGATGTTTGCAAAACATCGGGAGTTGAACTTCGTCTGATCATGTTTTCTATTTATTGGATGATAGCTAGGGTGTGAGGGGGTTCTCCGCCAGGCGATTGTGCTATTCTTGAAGCTCGATGACTGCATTTCTTGCGTTTTCTGAAGCAAATTCGTAACAAATTTGCATATGCGTACGGGCTCATTATTTTTTTTTGGGGGGGGCGGCTGGGCTGAATTTGCCCGAATGACATGACGTCATAGATTTCGTGACGTCATCATAAAATTATATAATCTAAGAAGACTACAAATGAAAGGCTTTCCTTTGAAGTCTTTGAAGATTGATATAAAAAGAAATATGTCGTCCCTATAGCTATTTCAATTATAAGCTAAATATATGGCATTACGATTCACAAAGAAAGAGAAAGTTACTAACGTAACAACATTTTTTGGTATAAAATGGGTAATTGGACAAGTACTGGTGCAAGACATTGTCAGCCTAAATCTGATGAGAGGACTAGTATTCCAAAAATTGTCGTTCTTAATTTCTTAACTCCGACTCCTGTAATGAACATGTACGTAAAAACCTAGGGAAATTACGATTATATAGAAACTAAAATAGGTGGAAATTTTATGGGACACGATAAAAGGCGAGGATAAGGAGCGAGAGATTAAAGTTGACGAGGAAGACAACCTTGTCCGCGTTTCGACCTAAAGATGGTGTAACATTTTCACTGTCCGTCACCGTATTATGTTCACTATTTTCCCTGAGCTGTGACAGTGAATTTAATTCATCAATATCAATGAACGTTGTCATTGGTTCCGTTTGGTCTTCGCTCATGGGTTCCTTCACATTTTTCTCAGATAGATCTTCATCAAAAGACACCGTAAGTCCGTGACTGCAGAATCTTTACTACCACTCGATTCAGTTCCAAGTAGGGTTAGGTCATATTGCAGGTCATTGTCCTTGGTTGTCGTGGAGTTAATGGTCGTAAATCTGCAATTTTTTAATGATTGTAAAAAAATCGCGCACTTTTATGTCTATCTAAAAGTCTAAAATTAGTCACATTAGGTCATTGTACAGTATTTGTACGGTTACGTCAATTATAATATATAGTATCTATTTTCAGTGACTGGTGTGTCATAGCCGCGGTGCCGCCCAGGACCAGAGACTGTATTTAGCAACCAATGCTATCAAGGGAGATAAACATTACTGATCCGATTGTTACCACGCACACTTATACCACACATTCGCAATATGTGCAGCTATATACTTGTATAGCCTACATTATGCTAGGTAAAACTGCTGAATATAGGCATGAATACAGTAGTGACATTTTATTAGTTGCCATAGCAATTGTTCCTTCGTTCTAGCCGTTTCTGTGGGGATTTACGTCTGTGGTATGTGCGCAAAAATCAAAATCACCAGACCGTCGTTGCCCGAATGACAAGACATTTTTTGCCCGAATAGATAAATTCTCAAAAAATGAGGGGGGGGGGCTGCAGCCCCCCAGCCCCACCCTCCCGTACGCCTATGCAAATTTGCACTAACATTTCTGACAATTCGCTACTTCGCCAAGGCAATCCTTTAAATTGAAAGGGCACCTTTGCCCCCTTGCCCCTCCTGGTAAAGGGCAACGGGGGCGGCTGCCGCTCCTGCCCCCCAGTTCCGGCGTCCCTGGTCTGAACAGTTTCTTTATTTGTCAGTTTAATAATTATTACACAAGCAGACACAAGCTATTAAGTTACCGCACCTCAAACCATATGTAATTTAAGACAGTAAAAGCTTATAGACATATATAAAACACATTCTAAAGCGGGCAAAATAAATTGGGTTTAGTGACGTTTGAGCATGAGGAAATCGACCCTTCAGGTACTGTTTCGTAGTTTTATAGTTTCGTGAACAGTCTATAGTTTTATTTGTTTCATTAGTTAACTTTATAACCGATTTAAGCGAACTTTTCGTATGTTAATAGTCTTTAATATTGTAAAATTATGATCGGAATGTGCTACATATCTTTGTAAATTTGTGATTTTTAAAATTAAAATTAAACTGAGATAAAATTAAAAGGAAATCTCCTGGCGTATCGCAATTAGTCTTCCTGGCATGCGTCTACATCATTCACACCTTCTGACTCCAATGTTGTTGGCACTTGTTGCTCTGCCTTCCTTTCAAAACATTTCAGCAAGCAGGAAGGCAAGTTTAGTGTGCAGCGGCTATGAAAAAATATTTACTACAATTATAGCATACTTTTATAGCTATACAATTACAACTATACTATTCTAGTGCTTTGAATGGCAAGAAAGATGCTAAGATGGTATCATGGTAGGTCTATAAATACAGAATGCTGGTTTGGTGGGTAATCCAAGTGTGCATGCAGTATATACTGATTACTGACAGTGGCGGAAATCTCTGTGGGGGAGGGGAAGGGGGGATTTTCGGAAATTTTGACCGAAAAGAGGGCTAAAAACAACCTTTTTGAGTGCAAATGGGGGGGGGGAGGTTGTCGGAAATGTGAAGGTTTCGTCGGAAATTTATGAGGCTTTTCCTCCCCTCCCCCCACCGGAAAAAGTAAATTTACACCCCTGTATACTGACATACATACTGACATACACAATTTAAGATCTAACAAGGAACGGTTGCAAAAAATAGGTCTTCTGCTAATTCTGGTACAAAAATGGGCAAAAGAAAGGTAGTCAATTGGTCTGTCTGGCAATTGAACGGTATATCGACCACTGTCATTTACATAAATGTGGTCTCACCTTCGCAATGCCGCCAAACGTCTGCTGTGGCGAGACCTTGTTCGGGTCTGGTCATGTGAATTGTGAAATCCCAGATTTTTGGATCGTGTACATAGCGTAATTTGTTGTTAGGGTTGGGGATTTAAAGACCTTTCAACTGTGTATTTCAAGTGTTCTCTGTATTTGTCAAAATTGATTAATTCATTCATTCATTCATTCATTCATTCATTCATTGATCAACTTTTCTGTTCTCACCTTTGTGAGTGCAGTGGTGTTTATATCATCAGAGGTTTATATAGTAATGTTTATATAGTTATTCCTCTGCATATAATAGATGTTTGTATCTATTCAAATACGTACGGTTCAAATTTGCATTCTGTAATTGGTGCACTATAGTCTATACTATATATTGTAAATGTATAGGTTTTGGCAGACCAGGGATTATTCTAAGGATACTTCACAACTCCAGTAAATTAAGATACCTCAAAACAATAAACATCTATATTCTATATTCTATATATATTGAAAGAGTTTCAAGTAAATCTTTGTAATTATTTTTAAATCTTTGTAATTCTTCACTTTTATGGCATAAACCTGCCATAATACGTCAAATTGTATAAACATTGACGTTAGCAAACCAAGTGCCCCAAATAAATCCCTCCCAAGCATTATGTTACTCAATGCAAGATCTCTTCGCAATAAGGACTATACTAGGCCTATACTAAGGTTGATGAACTTTTAATGCGAGCAAGCCAACGAAATGGATGATTTTTTACAAATAACGAAATGGATGATTTTTATGATTATTTGTTTTTCTGTATTGACACTCTTATCTTAGAGTGCGGCACAGAAACTGCTTTTATTGTGACTGGAGATTTTAATCCCAAAAGCAGTAACTTTAGGGTCAAACGTCTAGAACTATATACAATGTCGTCTTAAGCAAGTTGTCCATGTACCGACAAGAGACGAACATATTTTGGACATGATTCTGACCAATGTATCCAAGTATTACAATGTTCCTACCATGTAAGCGCAACTCGATAGTCGATACTTCAGATCACCTGCTCGTCCTTTGGAAATCTAGAGGAATCTAGAAATGAAGAAACTTAGCGGAGTTAGCGCGGAAGATTGAAGTAAGACCAATATTATAAGGAATCGAATCTTGAAGCTTTTGGTGAATGGGTTAAACCTTAAACTCTATAAGCGTGCAAAGCATCATATGGGGCCCATTTCTTAGAGACATCATGGTAAATATCTCCTTACGGGAACAATTCATTCACAAATAGCTGCAATATTCAACTACTAAGCTTGAAACTTGTACTGGCCCATTAAGCTTTGCGCGCTTAGAGTTTAAGGTTTGCAAAGGACAACCTTTCTTGAATTAGTTCTTTGAATTGGCTGTATACGCCATCCTTATCACGAACGACCGAGTCTCGCCAAATGACAGAAAGTCAAATTATTTGCTGGCTCTTTATGCATTCATATAACATTTACAACGATTCTTCACTCTCCAATAATTTTAGGGATAATTTATATTGCAAAATTTCAATTTCTGGTTAGAGGTAGCATTCTAATTATTATTATTATCACAAGTTTATATAGCGCTTATAACACATAGATCTAAGCGCTTTACATTCATTAATCTAGAAATTTACAATAAAATATAACAAATTTCCTAATTATTACTTATATATACTTATAAACTTATATACATCTATAAATCATAGGCTATTTTAAACATGTGGGTCTTAAGCTTACTCTTAAATTCAGAAATATCTGTACATGCTCTAATAGAGACAGGTAATTTATTCCATAACCTAGGACTACTTGCGTAAAAAGCTCTACCACCGTAGCTATTTACATTAAATCTTGGTTCATTAAGTAAATTAGCTTTAGAGGATCTAAGACATCTAGAAGGTTCATAATGGCTGATCATCTCTGCAATGTATTGCGGAGCAAGTCCATTTAACGCTTTAAATGTCAATAAAATAATCTTATATATAATCCGTTGCTCGACTGGTAGCCAGTGTAGCTGTATTAAAATAGGTGTAATATGATTATACTTTTGGGATCCGGTTAACAGTCGTGCTGCAGAGTTTAGAACACGCTGTAACTTTCCAATCTGATCCTTAGGAAGACCGTACAACAATGCATTCGCATTGTCTAGTTTAATAGTCACAAAAGCATGAATAAGCTGTTCAGTAGTATGCATCGACAGCTTTCTTCTAACACGAGCAATGTTCCGTAGGTGGTAAAATGCTGACTTACATATATCATTAATATGTATAGACATTGTAAGAAATTTATCAAATGTAACACCAATGTTCCGAGCGTGGGGTGTTGGAGTAATTATATCGGAGCCCACAGTCAACACAGGGAATATAGGCTCTGCCCGAAATTTGGAACTCAAAATAAGAAGTTCCGTCTTATCAGTGTTAAGTTTTAATTTATTCTCTGACATCCAGTTCATAATATCCACGAGGCAGGCTTCTACGCACGACTTAACTTGCTTAAGGTCATTCTGATCTTTATAATTGAACGAGACATAGATTTGAGTGTCATCGGCATATAGATGAAATTTCATGCCATGAGATCGTAAAATGTCTCCTATCGGTGAAGTGTATATCAGATATAGGATAGGACCTAGGACTGATCCTTGGGGAACACCACAAAACACATCAAAGCTGTCTGAAGTAGCGCCATTAACATAAACAGTCTGGGAACGATCAGATAGGTAGGACCTGAACCAGTTTAATGCATCACCTTTGATGCCAAATTTAGAGTACATTCTTTGGAGCAAGATCGTATGATCCACCGTATCGAACGCAGCTGATAGATCCAATAGTAGTAGTATGACACCCGAGTTTCCATCTATCTCACGTAAAATGTCGTTCTGTACACGAATAAGTGCTGTTTCACAACTATGGAATTGCTTGTAAGCAGATTGATATAGTTCTTCGAGGCCATTGCTTCGAAGATAATGCAATAGACGTAAGGAAACCACTTTTTCAGTCATCTTCGAAATAAACTTTAAGTTAGAGATTGGACGAAAGTTGGAAAATTCTTCATAGTCCGTGACAGACTTTTTGAGAGTAGGGTATAAAGCAGCCTTCTTAAAAGGACGATGGAACATGGCTAGTTTCCAAAGATGAATTAACTATGTCCGTGACAATCGGTAAAATCACATCTATGTGGGAAGAAAGTACCCAGGGACGCCGGAACTGGGGGGGCAGGGGGGGCGGTTGCCCCCCTTGCCTTTTGCTAGGGGGGCAGGGGGGGCAGAAGTGCCCTTTTAGTTGTAAAATAATACGTGATAAATCACATTTCCAACGATGCTTTTTGTTGGAAAATCACGAGATTCAGGTAATTTATAGTTTATATTTATAAAAATTTTTGGAAATTTTTGGAATTTAGAAAAACAATTTGAAGAAATGGCGAAAATTTAAGATATCCGGAAAAATTTTTGGCTTCACGGAAAATTTTTGTATGTCGGGAAAAAAATTTTGACCCCTAAAATGGTACACTGGCCGAATTTTTTTTGGCGACGGGGGGGGGGGAGGGAAGTCGCCAAAAAATTTTGCAGTGAAAAAAAAAATTTCCGTAAAGGTGCCCTTGGTGTGCGTCCGCCCCCCTTTGCCCTATTATCGTTCCGGCGTCCCTGAAAGTACCTTTGCTGGTATTGGATCTAGCACACATGACTTTAGTTTAGTCTTTTCCAAAATATCAGATAACTCGTCAGTGGTGGTATAAATGAACTCATCCAAACAGCAAGTTAGCTTTGGGTTATCCAGGTGGAAAAAACCCGGGTATTCCCTGACGATGGAGTTTGTAGTCCTTGTAGTAGAAATATGCAAACTGGTTTGCTAACCTTGTGGACGAATCAAATACAGGATATAGCTTTTCGGGTTTCCTGTGTAGGAATCGATTAATAATCTGAAAAACTCGTCCACTATCAGTACCAGCATCTTGAACAAGTGATGAATAATATTCCATTTTCGCTTCACTGATTGTGTTCTTAACAAGGATACACTGATCAGCATATGCCTGTCTATCAACTTGTGAGCCACTTTTACGCCATCTCCGTTCCTTGCATCGTCTTACTATTTTCTGCTTTTTGATATCTTCATTATACCATGGAGCCATAGATCGGATCGTTACGGTCTTTTTACGAAGTGGGGCATGGTTCTCCAACAATGTTGATAATACCGAATCATATTGGTCACAACGCTCCTCAAGAGTAGGTGCAGGTCTTGCATATAACTCCGAGCTAAGAATGTTTTGACGAAACTTAAGTGTATCAATATCTCCAAGCTTTCGATACGAAATGTCCGACTTTACATTACAAGGCTTAGCCAAGTCTAAATTGCAATGCAACACAAAATGGTCAGAAATAACAGCGTCGAATACTTTAAGATTGTTAATAATAGTTTCATCTTTCCTGGTGATAATAAGGTCGAGTGTATGTCCACTACTGTGTGTCGGTACATTCACATGCTGTTCAAGATTGAAAATCTGCAGAAGCTCCAAAAACCTGAGTGCATTAGATTATGTTTTCATTTCATTGCTACCCACACATCTTCTAGCACAGTCATGCACCCATGATAATTGACGAACCTTACAATCCACTAGTTTCCTTTTTTCCCAGGTGTAAATAGCGATTGGAATTAGTACCTTTGCCACAGGTTTCGCCTTACACCCTCTGCATGTGGCTCGGGAATTAACAACAGAAATGCGTATTTGAATTGTTTTGCTAATTTATTAATCCATTATTATCTATGTCTCTAATTTGTTTTTTACTCCATCTAATGCCAGACATATAATTATTAAGTAGACTATACCACTCTTGTCTTTTTTAAACCATTAGATTCAAAATTCACTCTAATTCACCATTAGGCTTCTTTTTTTCTCATGGCTCTATTTTACTCTCGGAAGTTTTGAGTGTTGTTGGCATAATGTGCTATAGTTGCTAAAATTGTCAGACATTAGAGTACATTAGACACAAGACTAGAGTCATATATAAAAGGCAGCAGGCCTGGCAAAAGTAATTTCATTCATTCAATTTTCTGCTTTTCAGTGACTGTTTACATCAAGTATCACTCTTACTTATTTTAATATTACCTACCGGCTTAGCCTAGACTTTATATTCTGACCAACTTTGTCTACTTTCACTGTATAGGAGGTAGAGCGTTGACAGATTCTTTTCACATGGGTCCATAGCGAGAATCAAACCCACAATCTCAGGCACCAAGCTTGCTCTGACGACTGCCCCACCACATGCGCCACCAAGAAAAACAAAGGCTAAACGCCACAGGCTATTGAGTTAATACATTGTTTAAATTGTGTTACTAAGCTTGACTACCCTAATGCGCCCAAATCCTTGTTAACCTCACATCTGTAGTCCATCCATCACTCCCTTCACTTATTGTTTTGTTTGTTCGTTTCTGTATCGTTCATTTATTTTTTGCAAAGCCGAAAAAGTTCTAGGAACTAAAACACTTTCTGAGCCCCAGTGGTTGCGTGGTCTGATACTTTTACCAAGACAAGAAGTATTTGTTAAACTATTTGTAAAAGAGCTCCGTTTACAACAACGGTTGGCTCCATGGCATTAGACAGATTAAATAATAGAGAGAGGGTATTGTGGCTTAACGCTTTTAAGCATATTAAAATATGTTATTCATCATCTGAGTGGATGGGTATAATTGTCTGAATTAGAAAATTAAGAATATACAATTACTTTATGGTTTCCGTGTTTGGATGGCCTGATCCAAACACGTGAGAATGTTGCGAGAGTTAAGAAAAGCGCGCGAAAACACGAGGCCTGATCCAAACACGGGTTTCGACCAATCAGAGCACGCGTTATATACATGTTATTTTATAAATAGATATATACTGTACAGATGCAATGATAAGCTATAACCAGGGTCTGCAGGATTACGGAGATGTTTAACGTTGTCCAATATTTACGTTACAACGTAATAAATTTTAACGTTTTTACGGGACAAAATTACGCTACTGCGACTTGTCACATCGTATGAGCAGCTCATGCATGTAACATGTTGGTAGGGACCATGAAGGACACATTTGTCAGCATTTTTGTTGTCCATGTTCATCAGTTCTAATCAGTGGCGTAACGTTATATCAGGGGGCCCCCGGTTCAAAATTTTCGAAGGCCCCCTAGTAGAAGTGCCAAAGGCACGAGTCGAGTGCCGTATGTGCACGAGTTTTTTAGGGGGACCAGGGCATGCTCATCCGGAAAATTTTTGAATCTAGACTATCTGAAATGCCATTTCCTGGACTTTGGGGAGAGATTTTACAGAATTCTGATGGTCAGAAAACGACATTGTAACATACCAGAGAGGCCCTGGCCAATGTTTTTGCTCTATCGCCTAAGCCTGGGGGCCCCATTTGGGTTGGGGGCCCCCGGGTTCTCCCGGTCTGAGCCCATAGTAGTTACGCCACTGGTTCTAATTGTAGAACTCCGACAATCTTTAATTATTTACCGTCACGCCTAAGAGAAATTGACCTATTTCTCAGTTCAAATCTAAATTGTCAGGATATTATCAATATGCAATAGAACGTATATATGATGTGACTGTATGTGTAAAATGTCATTGGTGTCTTTCTTCGTCCAGTCTTATTGCCAAAATGTGTTGATAAAATGTTTATAATTCAGGGACCCGCGTAATGGATAGACTCTGTGGGGATTTACTTGTCACTTGTGACAATGCTTGTAAATAAATAAATTCAGCGCCAAAAGGTGGTGTAGGAATTTGTAGTGTAGTGTTGACATTATGATAATAATTAATATAGTTAATATAAGTAAGGGGTGTGGTTTTATGGAGCAAGAACAGAGACATTATTTTAGGACAGGATCATCCTCGGTCCCAGGGCCTCACGGCTGACACTGCGTTGCCGGAGGCCCTGGCGAAAACCAAAACCGGAACTTCAAAAATCTTGTAGTTTGCCGGAAGTAAACGTAATAAAATGCTGACACTGCATCTTTTTTTGCAAGGAGTGAACTTTGAGAATTTCTCGAAAGAAATAATGTTTTACATGCAAGATAAACATTAATTTGATCTGGTTATTTCACCATTAAATGTTTTAATGATTGACCAAATCAGTAAACTAAAGGATCATGTAAATGTTTCAATTATGAAAGCTGTTCAAGTTGATGAATCGAAGGATACAATGTGTAGTTTGGGAGAGTCATTGTATACGGACAGCAATCAATTAGAGAACATGAAAGTTTTTGAATTTTTATTATAATCGACGAAATATACAGACAATTTAAAAGCGATTGTTGTGGACGAAGCACAATCTGGTGAGTGTGATACTTATATATTTGGTTGTTTCTCAATATTCTTTCTTTGCTATATTAATGGTTATCTGCAAGACTGTACACATACAGACAACATATATTCTGTTTAATACGTCCGGTCTAAACGCTGCATTTTACATGTGCCAAGTCTAGAAAAGTTTGTTCAACCTTTTAAGTGCTACCAAATTATTTTACTCAGCTTAACATGCCAGATGATTGAGTGTACTGGTTAATGTGAGAGTGCTACTGCTCAATGGGTTAATCAGATTATCTATTGTACTTTACTATCTTACTGTCTAATGTCAGACAATTTTGCTCATCAAGGGGAGAGTGGGTATAATTGCAAAGTAATTACTTTGCCACTTTGGACAAATGTATAAGTTACATAAAAATCAAAATGTCAAACTTTATTATTTGAGTCAAACTTTATTATTCGAGTCAAACCATGTAAATTCACATTAGATTTGGCACATGTAAAATGCGGCATTTAGACAGAGACAATGAGCATAAAAACCTGAAATATTGTGTGCATCCCCCCCCCCTTCGCCCCTCCCCCCACCTTAATCTTGGTATCCCCAGATAACGCTTGTTTGTAGGATATACAACTACCTGTAAGGTATCATGTGTGACTGCATACTACAAGCTACTATCATATTCAGTTTAATACATATATATATGACTTGAAATATGTATTTTCTTGCCATTGTAAATTTCCACACAAAAACGGCACCTATTGTTTTAATTTAGTATTTACAGCGACATTAGCTTCTACAAAAGGGGCACTTTTCCTCACAAAAAAGGGCACTTTTCAACACAAAAAGGGCACTTTTTATCACAAAAAAGGGCACTTTTAGTCCTTTAAAAAAATTTGGGGGGGCACGTGCCCCCCGTGCCCCCCCGCTTCCTACGCCCCTGTAAACATTGTACTACTACTTTAGGAAGGATTTCAGGCCAATTGGTATGTTGGGAAGTTTGTTTCTTCATCAACTCAGAGAAAGACATTTCATCAACTCAGAGAAAGAAAGAAATTACATGAACAAAATAAACAATTTTGTGTCATTGATATAAATAATGATTTATTCTTACAATTTCCTCTATGAAAATTTGGTGTGTTAATAAAGATACTGTAAAAAATAAATAACAGCTTTATGGTGCATCCATGCTGTGCTTTAATATTGCAGTGGTGTAGGAAATGGAGGTGTGTGGGTGCCAGTGTGCTTGTGTGTGGAGGCCGGATGCTCCAGGAGTTCCCCTACAAGGAATATCAAGTCCCCGACAAGGAATATCAGGTTCCCCGACAAGCAATATCAGGTTTCCAACAGGGGGCTATAATCTTTCAAACAGTAAAATTATTGTTTTGTATGTTCAACTTATGCTCATACATGAAAATGTTGAATTTTTTGGCTCTCATGAAATGGTGCAGAATTTATTGTCTGTAACAGTGCATTTACCAGCACTACAAAACAGGGTCATTACAAAATATAATTTTTCCCAGTACATTCCACTTCCCTGATTGGGGAGGGGCTAGAATTTCCACATAGGGGAGCTACAGCCCCCCCCCCACTCCCCCATACCTGATC